TCAAGTTCAAGGACTGCTTTGATTCACACCTTTATTTACACATACATTGACTCTATTCGACTTGCCGAGCAGCCATGACGTATCCCTGGCCGTATTCACTACCACCACATCTACAGCAGCAACCACATCTACAGCAGCATCCGCAACAGCATCCACTTCACGCGACACAGCCAATACAATCCCATGTCCACACACATCCCACACTGCCACCTCAACCTCAACCTCATCAACCACATCCACCGCATACGACAAACCAATCACCACCCACACCATTACTACAACCACCACCTCCAACAACTGCTCCACCACATGCCACCAATCCAGCAGTGACCGCCATACCACAGCCTACCACACCGGCTCCACCACCACCACCACACACTCCAGCAGCCCCGCAGCACATTGCCATTTCCGCTTCAGCTCACCATACTCCACCACAACCACTACCGCAACCACAAGTGCCACAACTCACACCTCAGCCAACTGCACCACCAACTGCACCTCAGCGGGGAGTCACAGACTACGCCTTTCAGGCTTACAGTCACGCCACCACACTTTACGAAGATACACGTTCCCACAGCACCCAGCACCAGCCACAGCACAGCAGTTGATGCAGCTCTATGTGACAAAAAGAGGTCATTCCAAAGAACATTGCGCCGCGGCGCTGCGGCCACGAGGAAAAGGACCATGCGCCGGCAGACTCGCAGTCCTTCACTTTACATTTTACAATTTACAATTTACAAGACCTTTCCGACGTCCTGCCCTACCACTATTTATTTATTACACAGGTATTTTCTGATCCGGTCTATTTGCGCCGATTCGGCTCATTGTGTGTGTCCACTCCTGTTTCCAAGGACACTACCCTAACTCTTTCTAACCTACCCTATGACTTTTGTGACCAATGTACAGCAGCAGGGGGCCACTCCACCCACCACCAGGGAGTGGCCAACGAAGAGCCTGGTGGTGTGGTGCTGAAAACGTACCTGCCATTTTAGAATTGTTTCAATCGTTTCACTTGCATTCTTGTTCAACAATACTGTTACTCGGACCCAGCATTTTTTTTCAGTCAAGGTCTAACCTGCAGTAATCTTAAAGGGCTAATGCTCACCGCGAAGCAGCCTGAAATCGCGCTCCACGGAGCAACCTACTCAAGTGTGTGCCCCTCCCAGTCTCTTGGGGATCGTTCACACACAAAAAGTAAAAATAAAACCTGTTGGTCATCTCGAGATCTCTTTTTCTTCATTCATGATGCTGATGCTACACCGAATTCATCAGCAGGGAGCAAACGACCGTTCTGACCCTACATTGCCCTGCAGCTATGGAAGTTCGGTGGCAGGGTTCGTGGACGCATGAACCTGTACCGGCAGATGTTTATGATGTTCGCTCGCTGAGATAATTGTTCCTGACTCTTCGCCTTTCTATTCGCTCAGGGCCATGGCAGCTTTATGAGGTCGTCTTTACATTAGACTGGTAATGCAGTAGCTAGACAACAAAGTGTTAATGCGTCTCCGGCACCACTCAGAACTACATTCTTATGAGCTTCTTCTCAAGCGTGTGGGGTGGGTGTCGGGTGTTGCTCAAAATGTGCGAAGCAACCCGTTAGCCCGCCCACCCTTCCTTTGACCGACCGGGATGACTGGATGTTACCCTGCGTTACGCCTCGCGCGGTGCACGCCACGCCGCTCGCGTGGTGCGCGCCGCGTCGCCGCAGTCCTTGGGTGCATCGTGGGAGTCCAAGCCCGCCCCAACCACAGCCAAGTCCACTTCCTCGGTTTAGCACTTTTGATGGTCCTAGGCGGGTCTTCTAGCCGTTCCACTTGATGAAAGGAAACAGAAGTTACCAAAGTTTCGATCCATGAAGTATCAAACGAGATCAAATGCGCTCCAGGTCTCGCTTTGAGTGCTTTAGGGGGCATCGCGTGACCCATGTTCGCCCTTTCACACCTAAAGCTCCAACGGGAACATGCCCCGTGACCTACAGGAGGTTTTTAATGTCAAACCGACTTCTTTGCAGGCGAAACATTTGGTCACTTCTGGGCGAAAGCTGGGATTCACACACTCATGAAAACATGCGAAGTCATGCGAAAATGGTTTATTTAAGGTGGACTCTTGATCAATAATACCCCCACGTGAAGAGGATGTCCAATTCAAGTGGGGTGGGTTATGAATCAAGAGTCTACATCAAAACCCGAATCCTCTCGCGCCAAAGGGTCTTGCCCATGAACCGAGATCGAGACGGTCTGCATGAGCGCTGCCTTGTTCGGCTTCTGCTTCGAGACGCAACAGAGCCTGGGCTGCGCCGAATGGTTTTGCTGCAGCACCGGGCGTCGCGTGCCTCGGCGTTCGCGCTGGTCGCGACGACAAAGGAGGAAGGCACCACGCGGGGGTGGAAGTCGAACAAAAAGAAAGGCAAACCCGTTGCCAATGTCATCCTGGGCTGGAGGATAGAGGCACTCATTCTCCACTGACTTTGGTCCAAAAGCCACCACCCAAGGTGGCTTTACGGAAACACTCCCACGTGCACCATCCCAGACGTCAACAGTTCAGTGCCCCAATAACGATTCCATCCACGCCCGGCTGAATTACTTCAGGTGGCAAATCAGCAGTGCGTGGACCCCATACTTCGGGCCATTCAGACCAATGCCGTAGTACGGTCGAGCAGGAGACCTCAGCGCCAGCCCCGGAGACCCCCGCGGTGGTTCAGCAGGGCGGTTCAGCTCTCGACCGAGGGTTGGCAGATGGAACAATTGGTTTCTGGGATCCATCTTCCGGCGTCCGCAGGTTTTTTGGAGATTTATCGATGTGTCCACAAAGAGGAGGAAGAAATAAGAAAGAGCTAGAAAAACTGTCAAAATCTCAGGGCACTGTCCCGTTTTTGCATTGCAGTGGTAGCCTCGAGCAGAGACGCGCGCAGCCACATCTGTCCAGAGAGCGTCTGCGAGGCCAGTGTCGGTCTCAAACCATACCTCATTTAGATGAAGCCCCATGGGTTCAGAACGGTTTGTTCAGACTATATGATATGATTAAAAAACATATGTCAAGTATTCAAAGCGTATGTTACATACACATCCGACAACAACATCGTCAACATGGATTGAAGGCACTCCAAAGCAGACCAAAACAGACGAGTCGAATGAAAAACGGGGGAAACCAGTGTGAGAACTCGAACGTTCGTTCGGGGAAAGCAGGTTATTTCATGTTGTTTCCAAGGGAAACCAGAAGCCCAAACGGTTGATGGGATTAGGTCACACCTGGGTGATTGGGCACTTTGGTGTACCTTTTGTCATGGTCAACTCAAGCTGTTTGCCTTCTCTGCTACTGCCGACGCTTCCCGCAAAGGCCCCATCAAAAGCATCGAACACACCACGACACACCACTATCCCCAGCCATTCCAGATTCTCACCCCTCAAGCAGCTCCCGCAGGAGTTGCCAGTTAAGTCACAAAGAAACGTCCTAAAAACCTGATCCCAAGGACAAATCATCGCAATTCCAAGCGGCGGTCTCTTTGTTAGCTATATGAACTTGATTCTGTGCCAGAATCTGTGCTACTTTCCGTACGCTGCTTGTTACATGATGAAAGCCTATGACTGTCAGCACCATGTGGTCAACTGGTCAAGCACTGATGTCGTTCAGATGCCGTTTCGGATGTCGTTCAGATCGCCCATCAGAAAAATGAGGAAAAACAATTACCATCATGGATACAAATTTGTAATATAGTATATACCTATCCATCTATCTATCTATCTATCTATATTGTTTACCGACGAAGTATGTCGTTTAGATGTCGTTCAGAATGCCGTTTCCAAGCTAAACACATGATTTTCAAACTCAGTTCACCACCAGAAATCGTTGCGGCAGTGCAGCAGCTAATTCTGATCCCTGGGATCGCCCACTACATATGCACATCTGACAGTGCATCGTTTCTTAGTGAGGTGGCTTGGTTCCACTCAGAATGCGAACATTCGGGCCCCGCTTATTATCCTCACCCGGAGCTTTCTGGCAAAACACGATCATGTCATCCAAATGCTCGGACAAGGCCTCAGCCACATACGCGGCCGCCTTGGGTGAATGCAGCCGGCCATTCAGCTTGAGGGAGCCAGCGGTGATGCTGAAAGCGAAAGTTGGCCGCCCAAGCTTCAGAAGGATCATCCCACAAAGCATCTTCATGAAAGCCATCATCTTCATGAACTCTGCAAAAAAGACACCGTCGGCCGGACACGGAGTTCGGCGGGCTATGGCGGAGGCTTCGCGTAGCCCAAGTTTAGGCACGCGCGCCCGTGCCTGAGCACTGGGCGGCCAGTGCTAAATTAAAAGACTGTGGGAAGGAAATTAAAAGACTGTGGAGTGGAAGAAATCCTGTGGGGATCAAAAGCCCCACTGAAAAACACCAACGGCCTTCCAGTTGGTACGGATGAGACATGAACATAGGCAGGCAAGGTCCAATCCTGAAGTGCATCAGGGAATAACGAAAGCGAGAGAAGTCATCGATTCTTCTTGATTTGAGGTGTTTCCGAATTTCTTCCTTTCACAGTATATAGAGGCTTCTGGCCACTAGCAGCTACAGACCATGTGCCACTAGAGATTCGGCGCATATAGATCATATAGGTCGATCTGCGTCTGACAAGCTAGTTGATACTGCTTGTGGCCAAAGTGGTCTCTCAAAAAGTCTTAAACACTTGAGCTCGACTTCTGCGTGCTTTGAGCCCAAACGACGTGTTGGAGACATTGGGTGTCATTCAGGCCGCTCATGTCTTATCATACTCACATGGGGTGGGTATGAAGAGCCTTTGTGCCGTTCTGCTCCCCGGGCCCCGCAGGGCCCCGGCCCGGGCCCTGCAGGGCCCTGGACCCTCGTGGCAGGACCACTGTGGGGGTGAGCTAAAGCCAGTGCCAATGACGTGCTGACATCCAGAAATGCCTTCAGAGAAATAAAACATGGGGGTGCACATGAGACACCACGCCCATGGGGCCCTGCAAAGCTCCATGCCCATGGGGCCGCAAAAATACCACCATGGGCTGGTTCTCTCAGACCCATCTTTAGTGCTGGATGGTGTGCATCAATTTATGGTATTAAAGGGATTGGTGGTTGTTGCAGTGGTCCAACGACAAGTACAGTCACTTGTCTAACGCTACACTCATATACCAACAAAAGGGCAGGCAAAATTATGTAGAGGCAAGTCTGTTCAGTGTCCCATTCGGGGAACTTTTGATGGCGGAACATAGGCTTGGTGTGTCCGAGCGTTGCTGTAGCACATCGAGGGGACCAAGGTCATTTGGAAGCACACTCTTCCTTTCCAGTAGATGCCCTAAAACGTTCTCCTACTCGATGGCCAACGGCAACTGGTGCTGAGCCATAAATTGAGATGAAGCTGTGGGTCAAAACCCAAGAACCGTAATCCCTGCTAAGTTGATCCCCCTGGATCTTCTGCTCATTTTTGGACCCAGGAATCCACCCGCCCAATCCACCCGCTGGCCCTCTGCTTCGTCTCTGGGGTGATGCCATTCTTCTTGCACAGAAGTCCCACCTTGTCTAAGCAAAGCTGCGAAGAAGACGAGTCTGGGTGGCCAGCGAAAACTGGCGTTGTATCTGGGTACATCTGGTTGTATCTGGATACATTTGGGTCATGGTTAACAATAGAGGCTCACGACCAATCTGTTGTTTTTTTTTCTGGCCCAACCTGGGCTAGAAGTGTCATGCTTCCCCAGACACACCAAAACCAAGCTTCAGGAACTCTGCGGTTTCACCCTCACTGTGCCAACCTCCACCCATGCCCACGCCACACGACGACTGTTGAAGAAGGTAGAAATCCCGCACCATCTGAAATCAAACATAATTAACAATACATAACATCAAAAATTACTATTATATGTACAATGCTTTGGCGGTTTCAAGTGGTACATGGTGGTACAGGATTGCAATCTAGCAACCTAGGTTTGATCCCCCTACCCTTCCAGCAGCCTCCGTCCATCCTTTCTTGCAGCCCTTCTCATAGCACTGGTCGAGCACCTCCTCGAGATGGGCGGTGCTCGAAGAAAGGAGGGATGCTACATGAGGCGAAGGATAAGAAGTTCCTCCAAGAGGTTCATGAGCATCCAGGATGTGTACATATCTGTTTCTTGGTAAGGTTCAAGAAATACTGTTTAGTATTCAAAGCCTTTTGGGAGGAACCGGTTTCGCTTCAGGAATGGACCTGGTTCTTCTTCTTCCCAAGTTTCGTTGGTGGGGAATGGGATCGGGCTTTTCTGGTCCAGAAATACCCATAGACTCATAGGACCAGGCCGCACAAAAGTGTGGCGCCCGGGCTGGCTTGATAGACCCCTAGTAACTCAGTGTCTTTTTCTTGTTTCGCCCACCGCGCTTTTTGGCCATCCAAATCCACGGACCTCATAGCCATCCGCGCAGAACTCGTAGCACTGCCGCAGCACTTGATCAAAGAACATCCCATCGGTACACATTGCCACCTGCCAAAGGCCACTAATGGCCACAGGGGAGGGTGGGGCGGTTGGGAGTTTAAGAGACCACAGCTTGAGCAGAAAACCCTTGACAAGAGGTGGACGACTACACTGCGTTGAGTGTTGAGTCTTGACCTAAATCTGTCTTGGCGCTGTTCAAGACTTGAGGGTGCTTGGAAGTCTGTATCTTTTTTGTTGGGTTTCCCGGCGGTGCTTCCTAAAGGCAAAAAAGAACTTCCAAAATACCTATACAACCTCTTGTCGAGTGGTGTCTAGTGCAGGCCTGTCGCGTGGGTAGCCTGGCAGATCCTGGAGGTACTCCTTTGGTATACCGGACTTACTTCGATCAGGCCCATGGACTGAGGGAGAAAGACAAGTTGATCCGGCTGGAAAGGATCCTGCACCAACCGCACCACCTCAATACAGACCATTTGGAAGCAAGTTGATAGGGATCATCTCAGAGGAAGTGCCGGATTTCTACCTTCCCTGCAAGGTGCCACAAAATGGGAAGAAATGAGCCTGCAAGGTCTTTTGGGAAGGCCTCTGCGAACCCAGAAATTAGAGGCTTGTCAATCAACTTGTCCTCCCACAAGCCATGGCAGCGCGACTCCGCCTCCCCCTCCATCTGAGGATTGTAAATGCCCGGCACCGGGGATTCATCATCCACAGCGCCAATGTCGTTGTCCGGAATCCCCTGGGGGAGACGGCAGGCAGACGCTGCGAAAAGCAAACAGCTCGCTCTGTGCACAAGCACACGCGAACACTCGGTGCTATCCATGACAGCACCGTCGAATAGAAACATACAGTGGGAGGTGAATTCCAAGGTTTGCGAGAAATCAGCTGTCTCAGTCGAGTTGTCTCATGACATCCCAAACAACATGATGTCGATGCGCCAAAAAAAGACCTTTCAAAACCCATTTGAAAAGGCATGAAAAGGCTACTATACCCCTTAGCAGTCTGCGTTGATAGCCTTCCAATCGTCCTCTCAAAAGCGATTGCCGGGTCACCCCGGCCACCACGTGGGCGGCCCAACGTCTTCCGTTATCTCGATCCACGAGACAATGTAACGAGTCGGAGCCGGAGACCACCGTGGCCGGAGACCCTGTTTCGGGCTGGTCTGATACATAATACGAATTCAAATTATATAATTAATATATCTCGGCGCTGGTGTGGATATACAAGGAAGGTTGAATTCCTGGCTCACATTAAAACAGTATGTACTTGTACTCGTCGGCATGAAGGGTTCACCTACAATAGGTGGCATGGCTTGGTGCGTGCGTATCCCATGCGGCCCATGCACCACTTTCATGTGAACACAAATCGGAATGTGCCGGCTCCCTGCCTCCTTTCAGATGTTCAAGCCACACCCGCATCAACCGCATAGACCCTGCGTCTAAGTTACGGATGCATCCACCGCCAGCCAGATGGCCGCGGCGTGCTTCGCAAGTCTCCACGCCATGGCTCCGCTCAGGCGCCGCCGCGAGGGTCTGAGGGTTTGGGTCTGCGGGCCGACGAAATCACGCTCAGCACTTCTTATTAACGCAGCGCCCATGGAGGTTTGGAATCACACCCATGCAGTACAGAGTCCTACCCAGAAAGTGAGCCCATAACGGAAGAGAATGCTGCCAAGACATGTAATGGGAAGTACTTCTGCTCCCCCAGCTCTTGATCCCCATGGAAGACTGAACTTTGCAGTAGCCTTCTTTCGTAAACAATCAACTTTCAAAAAGTTCATCAAATTCGAAGATCCATCCTCTAAGCACCCCAGATTCGCAGTTGCCCATCACGTGGGCGACTGGCGCGCACGTCACTTCTGCGGAGCGGAACCCCTCCCAGCAATGCATCAAAAGAGAGCATGGAAGAACTTCGGCAGGGGCCAAATCATGCGAGTACTCTATTGGGAGTTCTCACTGACCTCGGTCGTACTCTATCGAAGTCTCTTCGGAGTACTCTATGGAACTCTCCAGTTCTGATATTGATCAAATTGGGAGTACTTGTTCTCGGTGCATCTCGGTGCATGATACGTGGCGCGCCGAGTTCTTCAGCTCCGGAAGTGGAGTGGGCCCCACACCATGGGCCTCATCCAGGCAGCAACGGACCAGCATCTGGCCGTAGAGGTAGTAGTCCTCAGCATCCTGGGAGAGTAGTGCCCCGGGAAGCACCACTTGCACCAACATTCTTGGCATTTGAGTGAAGGAGTGGCCTAGCCCACTTTATGAATGAGGTAGTGGGACTCGAACACCTAGGATCCTGGAAGTTTTGAGTCCGGAAGGGGTGGCACACTGGTAAACACAATGTTGAAAGGTGCTTGCTGGGACGCTGCGCTGGCGTTTTTGGCGCTACAGCTGGGAAAACACCAAAGGATACAGCTAAATGCATGTCGAAGTAGGTACTTCCACAGTGGACATGACAAGCCGCAATGTGACACGATATCAATTTCCTGCTGGCTAAGCGATCCTTCACAATCCTCTTCCTGGTTGGGTGGCCCAACCCAGAGGCCCGCTTTATGACCACGCCTCAGATTGCAGCCGGCTGAACAGCACTAAGTTCCTGCGAAGGAGGAACTCAGAGCCCACCCTCAGGACCTCCCAACAACCAAAAATTTTTCTGACAAGCACGGTATTGAATCCCTAAAGATCCACATAACCGGTGATTGGTGTCTCCACTCTTCTGTAGAGGAATGAACGCTCCAGGACTGGGACGAAGGTCTCCTGTCACACTGCCTCTTCCTA